CCTTGCATCCTCTTCTTCGACGAGATGGACTCGCTCGTGGCCAAGCGCGAGAACACGTCGACCGAGGCCGGGGCCCGCGTCGTCAACGCGCTGCTGCGGAGCTCGACGGTGCCGGCGACCGCGGCGAGGTCTACGTCATCGGCACGAGCAACCGGCCTGACATGATCGACCCGGCCGTGCTGCGCCCTGGTCGTCTCGACAAGCTCCTGTTCGTCGACATGCCGACGGAGGACGAACGCGTCGATATCCTGCGGACCATCTACAGGAACGGCATCGGCGGCAGTGACAAGGCGGCCGATGCCGTGATGGAGGGCACCGAGCAGGAGGCCACGGCGGGCAGCGGCCCTGACGTGATCGAGACGGTAGCGCGGGACCCGCGGTGCAAGGGCTTCAGCGGTGCCGATCTCTACGGGCTGTACAAGAACGCGCTGGACGCGTGCGTTCTGCGGTACGAGGGCGGCGACCCCTCCCTGTCCCGGGCCGACTGGGAGGCTGCGCTCGAGCAGACGAAGCCGAGCGTGCCGAATCCCGAGAGCTATCGCAAGTTGGCGGCCAAGTTGCATCACCAGAGGTAGAGGGCATAATCGGAACCGTTCGAAGAATAAAGCAAATCGCTTCACCAAAGGCATGATGGAAAGATGCTGTTTCACGTGAGATGAGCTTGTTTATGTGGAGATGGTCATGCAGCTACAGAGCGCTGTCGATCCTTGTCTTGGGGGTTTGGGCTGCGTAGTTTAGTTTGTTGCACATGGGCGCATGGGCATGTCTTGCCGTACATGCCAGCAAAGCCTTACGATGCCGTAGCTGATCTTCTGGGATGGGACCGAATTCTAAAAACGCCATTTGAAGTACATCACCAAGACTGTACGGACCACGTCAGAAATGATCGTGGATGCAGAGGCACATAGTGACGACCGAGAACCCAAGTCTTGGCATGTCATCTGCTTAAGTCGTTTCAAGAATGTTTCGGTCACGCCCTTGTATTATGGATCGAGATCCGCGGAGAGAAATGG